CTCAACCAGGTCATTAAAGTCACAGGGATGTTAAAACTAACTCAACCAGGTCATTAAAGTCACAGGGATGTTAAAACTAACTCAACCAGGTCATTAAAGTCACAGGGATGTTAAAACTAACTCAACCAGGTCATTAAAGTCACAGGGATGCTAAAACTAAACTCAACCAGGTCATTAAAGTCACAGGGATGCTAAAAAAAGCTCAACCAGGTCATTAAAGTCACAGATTTAAAATAGACATCTTTCACAGACAGTTGCGATATTAAATGAGAATAAAATATCACAAATCTTCATGAAACACAATATTCTCATTATCCAAGTCATGACTAGCATCACCAGTACAGAGAGAGAGAGAGAGAGAGAGAGAGAGAGAGAGAGAGAGAGAGAGAGAGAGAGAGAGAGAGAGAGAGAGAGAGAGAGAGAGAGAGAGAGAGAGAGAGAGAGAGAGAGAGAGAGAGAGAGAGAGAGAGAGAGAGAGAGAGAGAGAGAGAGAGAGAGAGAGAGAGAGCCAAGTGAAAGCCTTCACTGGACACATCCTTAATCTACAACAAGAACACATTCCTCACCGGCAATATGTGACGAAGCCTACAGATCAGCCTTGGTTTGGCTTTCGTTGTAGAGAGGCTGCTACTGCTAAGTACAAAGCATGGCGAAGGTATAAGAGACACCCTACCACCTATAACAGGAACTTGCACATGCAAGCCTGTAGGCATATGGGTGATGTTCAAAAGTGGGCCATTGCTAAATGGGAGGTGGACACTAAAAGAAAGTTAGCATCAGGTAGGGTAGGCTCCAAAACCTGGTGGTCCCTGGTCAAGGACAGACAAGGTTATCTGCCTGATGAACTTATTCCACCTCTAAATCGACAGGATGGGACCACCTCTACTAGCAGTCAAGAGAAGGCGGACCTCTTTGCTGAACACTTTGCTACCAAAATGCAACTTCCTGATCCAGCAAGGGACCCTCCTTGGCTAGCTGCAAGAACTGTGTCAAAACTGTCAGTGGTGACAATAAGGCAGGAGGAGGTGCATTTCCTACTTAAATCGCTTGACCAAGAAAAGGCTGTGGGTCCAGACAAGTTGAGCCCAAGATTGTTGAGAAGATGTGCAGACCAGCTAGCAGCACCTCTAACTCGCATCTTTCAGCACTGCCTAGTACAGTGTAAATGGCCCTCTCTATGGAAAGAGGCGAATTTAGTCCCTGTTCACAAAAAGAAGAGCAGAGCAGAAATCAGCAACTACAGACCAGTGTCACTCCTGTCAATCACTTGAGACAATAATCTCAAGACAAATGACAGAGTTTTTTGACTACCACTCACTACTTTGTGATCGTCAATATGGCTTCAGGAAAGGTTACTCTGCTGCTGATCTGTTGTTAAACCTCTCCACTAAGTGGCACCAGTCACTGGATGAATTCAAAGTCAGCTGTGTGGTAGCACTGGACATTGCTGGCGCTTTCGACCGGGTGTGGCACCAGGGCCTCTTAGCAAAACTTCAAGCACTGGGAATTGCAGGCTCTACGCTATGTCTCCTCAGTGACTACCTTCATGGTAGATCTCTAAGTGTAGTTCTCAATGGAACGGAATCAGCAAGACATCCTATTGGGGCAAGTGTTCCACAAGGAAGCGTGCTGGGTCCATTGTTATGGAATGTCTACTTCAACGACCTTCTTCATCTCATCCCAGAATCGCATGCATATGTAGACAACTGTACACTGACATTCACTTATCCAAGAGAAGAAATGCCAGCTGCTCTAAGCTACATCAATCACCAGCTGAGAGCTATATCAGCTTGGGGAAATAGATGGCAAGTAACATTTGCACCTGAGAAAACGCAAATGATGATCGTCTCTAGGCACCATGATGGTAATGCTGGTGCAGTAGTAAGGATGAATGGGAGGATGTTGGCACCTGGAGAAGAAGTTGATATCCTTGGGGTGAAATTTGACTCCAAACTAACCATGAAGAACCATGCTGTAAATCTTGCAAACAAGGCAGCCAGGAAGCTTACAGCACTTCGCCGTATCTCCCATCTGCTTGACAGTAGGGGTTGCAAGATCCTGTACGAGGCACAAGTACGCTCGCACCTTGAGTATGCTCCACTTTCTTGGTTTGCCTGCCCCCCCCCTCTCATCTGCGACTGCTTGACAGAGTAGAGAACAGAGCAAGACGTCTCATCTCTCGCCTGGACCCATCCTGGATAGATCTGTCATTTCAGCAGAGCCTTCAACATAGGAGGGATGTGGGTGGCCTTACTGTTATGTACAAGGCCAATATTGTCAAAATACCACACTTGGATCCACTTCGAGGACAGCGTGAAACAAGCTTTTATGCCACAAGACGGGCAGAAAGCACAACTTCCACTCTGGCTGTACCCTCTCCAGAACTCACTCCATCTGAGATCATTACATACCAGGATGACTCGAGTATGGAACACATTCGTGCAGCATAATGATGTCAACAAGATAACGTCAGTTTGATCAAATGAAAATGCTGGCCCACAGATGGCTCCAACTTCATCCTGTTTCCTACTTGTATGTCCTCATAACAATAAAAATGCTTTCAATGAGCTGATGTAGGTAACAGCTCTTAGCTTGCCAATAAAGTTAGGAATTCCTTAACCTGTAAATAGCTGTCAATAAAGCTAGGGATCCTTAACCTTGTCCAAACCCTGTGTAAAAAAAGAGAGAGAGAGAGAGAGAGAAGGAGAGAGAGAGAGAGAAAGAGAGAGAAGAGAGAAGAGAGGGGAGATAGAGAGAGAGTGAGAGAGAGAGAGAAAGAGAGAGAGAGAGAGAGAGAGAGAGAGAGAGAGAGAGAGAGAGAGAGAGAGAGAGAGAGAGAGAGAGAGAGAGAGAGAGAGAGAGAGAGAGAGAGAGAGAGAGAGAGATGATGTAGGTCACAGTTCTTAGCTTGTAAATAAAATTAGGAACCTAAACGTAACCTGGTAGAACTGTGTAAGAAAAAAAAAGGAGAGAGATTTGAAAAATCTCGGAAGAAATTCTTCAGGTTTGAAAGAATAATTACGCTGTTAATTACAATGTTAATCACTAATTTGAATACGTCAAAAACAAAAGACTTTGGAGGAAAAAAGAGAGAGAGAGAATATTTACTTTTCTTATTCTAACATTATCTCGTTTTATTCTTCTCTTTTCAATGAAATTATTGCATAAATCACTTTCTCTTTCTCTCTCACAGTAAGATAACACAGGTATCAGAATCCAGACCTGAATAAAAAGGTCATCGGATCCAGTATCTACCCTCTGTCCGGTATCATCTACCCACTAGTTTCTACCCGCCACCATCTACGCGCTAGTATCTTCCCGCTAGCTCCTACCCGTTAGTACATACCCGCTAGCGTCAACCCGCTAGTATGTACCCGCTGTTGGGGCAGACACTAGCTACCGCTGGGATGACCAGCGCTGGGATCACCCACATTTATATTAGAAGAGAATCTTGCTGCTGCTGCTGCTGCTGCTAGTGGAAAAATCATCCGCTTTTAGAGCGCTTGTGTGCAGTTGTCAGACTTCCGCTCTGACAATTTTTGGATAAGCCTTTTTTTTTTCCTCTCTGCCTGTCAGAGATACCCGAGCCAGTTAGTTAAAAAAGGCCATGTTCAGTGGGATTTTTAAGGGGCTGCATTATGTATTTTTTTTAGATCGTCTCCACTGACTGTATTCTGGTTTTGATTAAATGTGACTTTGGTGACTTTGCTCTTCAATGGACAAATTAACCAAAGGGCCTTTTTGGGGAGGCCTTTTTTGAATTTGGAAGACTGCGGCGTGATGGATATTTTGGTGGTGGGGTTTAGATTGAGGCTTGTGGCCTTTTGTTATCAGGTATTGAGCCTTTTAGGGAGTCAGGTGTGCTTTCCTGGGATAAAAGATTTTTGGAGGCCTTCTTGATAAATGGGAGGAATAGGCCTATAGTGAGAGGGAGAAAAATAGACATCAAGTGTTGAAGCTGAGTCAGAGATCATGAACTACCGGTTATGTCTACTTTTTCTAGAGAAAACATTAGGAACTAGAGTGGGAAAGATCTAGATTGTAACTATAGCACTACTAGTGAGAGTAGTTAGTTACTTAATGATGGCTTCCCTGTGTACTTCCCACTCGTCACTTCCCTCAACCCCTTCAATCTTTCCCATGTATTTCCCCTCCCTCCCTCCATCCCTCATCTCTTCTCTTTCTCCCTTCCTACTTTCTGTCTGCCTACCTCCCTGCTTCCTTCCATCTCTCTATGCCTCCTTAAAGCCTTGATTCCCTCCCCTCCTTCCTTCCTGTCTCCCTTCCTTCCTTCTTGCCTCCCCCTCTGTCTCCCACCTTCTCTGTGCCTCCCTCCCTACTCCCTCACACTCTCCCTCACCTTGGGGTACTCCCTCACCTTGGGGTATTCCCTCACCTTGGGGTACTCCCTCACCTTGGGGTACTCCCTCACCTTGGGGTACTCCCTCACCTTGGGGTGCTCCCTCACCTTGGGGTACTCCCTCACCTTGGGGTACTCCCTCACCTTGGGGTGCTCCCTCACCTTGGGGTACTCCCTCACCTTGGAGTACTCTCTCACCTTGGGGTGCTCCCTCACCTTGGGGTGCTCCCTCACCTTGGGGTGCTCCCTCACCTTGGGGTACTCCCTCACCTTGGAGTACTCTCTCACCTTGGGGTGCTCCCTCACCTTGGGGTGCTCCCTCACCTTGGGGTACTCCCTCACCTTGGGGTGCTCCCTCACCTTGGAGTACTCTCTCACCTTGGGGTACTCCCTCACCTTGGAGTACTCTCTCACCTTGGGGTACTCCCTCACCTTGGGGTACTCCCTCACCTTGGGGTGCTCCCTCACCTTGGGGTACTCCCTCACCTTGGGGTACTCCCTCACCTTGGGGTACTCCCTCACCTTGGGGTACTCCCTCACCTTGGAGTACTCTCTCACCTTGGGGTACTCTCTCACCTTGGAGTACTCCCTCACCTTGGAGTACTCTCTCACCTTGGGGTACTCCCTCACTCTCACTCACCTTAGGATGCTCCCTGACTGGCACTAACACCTTGACAGTGACTTTAATGCTCTTCTCCTTGGTCACTTCCACTGCTCTCTTCTCTTCACTTCTCTTGCCACTCTGCACTCTCTCCAGCTCTGTGCAAAAACAACCAACACGTTAGCAAATACACTAACAAACATGTTAACACATACACACTCTAACAATTACATCAACATGAACAGGTATGAACCAAAACAGTAACAAATACAACACACTAATAAATGCAAAATAAATAAATAAATAAATAAATAAATAAATAAATAAATAAATAAATAAATAAATAAATAAATAAATAAATAAATCCAATAACAGCCAAAGAAATTGTTAACAATAACAATATAACAAAAACATTCAGTCTAACACGTCCTCTAACACGGACAATAACAACTACCTTAATATAAAAACATCATATATATATATATATATATATATATATTATATATATATATATATATATATATATATATATATATATATATATATATACATATATATATATATATATATATATATATATATATATATAATATATATATATACATATTTTATGAAAAGAGGATAAATAAATATACAAGGTATGATGTAGCACGTAATGAAAGTAGTTTATTAGATTATGTATTGGTGGATAAAAGGTTGATGGGTAGGCTCCAGGATGTACATGTTTATAGAGGGGCAACTGATATATCGGATCATTATTAGTTGTAGCTACAGTTAGAGTAAGAGGTAGATGGGAAAAGAGGAAGGTGGCAACAACAAGTAAGAGGGAGGTGAAAGTGTATAAACTAAGGGAGGAGGAAGTTCGGGCGAGATATAAGCGACTATTGGCAGAAAGGTGGGATAGTGCAAAGATGAGTAATGGGGGGGTTGAAGAGGGTTGGAATAGTTTTAAAAATGCAGTATTAGAATGTGGGCAGAAGTTTGTGGTTATAGGAGGGTGGGTGCAGGAGGAAAGAGGAGTGATTGGTGGAATGATGAAGTAAAGGGTGTGATAAAAGAGGAAAAAGGTAGCTTATGAGAGGTTTTTACAAAGCAGAAGTGTTATAAGAAGAGCAGAATATATGGAGAGTAAAAGAAAGGTAAAGAGAGTGGTGAGAGAGTGCAAAAGGAGAGCAGATGATAGAGTGGGAGAGGCACTGTCAAGAAATTTTAATGAAAATAAGAAAAAATTTTGGAGTGAGTTAAACAAGTTAAGAAAGCCAAGGGAAAATATGGATTTGTCAGTTAAAAACAGAGTAGGGGAGTTAGTAGATGGGGAGATGGAGGTATTAGGTAGATGGCGAGAATATTTTGAGGAACTTTTAAATGTTAAGGAAGAAACAGAGGCAGTAATTTCATGCACTGGTCAGGGAGGTATACCATCTTTTAGGAGTGAAGAAGAGCAGAATGTAAGTGGGGGGGAGGTACGTGAGGCATTACGTAAAATGAAAGGGGGTAAAGCAGCTGGTACTGATGGGATCATGACAGAAATGTTAAAAGCAGGGGGGGATATAGTGTTGGAGTGGTTGGTACTTTTGTTCAATAAATGTATGAAAGAGGGGAAGGTACCTAGGGATTGGCGGAGAGCATGTATAGTCCCTTTATATATAAAGGGAAAGGGGACAAAAGAGACTGTAAAAATTATAGAGGAATAAGCTTACTGAGTATACCAGGAAAAGTGTACGGTAGGGTTATAATTGAAAGAATTAGAGGTAGACAGAATGTAGGATTGCGGATGAGCAAGGAGGTTTCAGAGTGGGTAGGGGATGTGTAGATCAAGTGTTTACATTGAAGCATATATGTGAACAGTATTTAGATAAAGGTAGGGAAGTTTTTATTGCATTTATGGATTTAGAAAAGGCATATGATAGAGTGGATAGAGGAGCAATGTGGCAGATGTTGCAAGTATATGGAATAGGTGGTAAGTTATTAAATGCTGTAAAGAGTTTTTATGAAGATAGTGAGGCTCAGGTTAGGGTGTGTAGAAGAGAGGGAGACTATTTCCCGGTAAAAGTAGGTCTTAGACAGGGATGTGTGATGTCACCATGGTTGTTTAATATATTTATAGATGGGGTTGTTAAGGAAGTAAATGCTAGGGTGTTTGGGAGAGGGGTGGGATTAAATTATGGGGAATCAAATTCAAAATGGGAATTGACACAGTTACTTTTTGCTGATGATACTGTGCTTATGGGAGATTCTAAAGAAAAATTGCAAAGGTTAGTGGATGAGTTTGGGAATGTGTGTAAAGGTAGAAAGTTGAAAGTGAACATAGAAAAGAGTAAGGTGATGAGGGTGTCAAATGATTTAGATAAAGAAAAATTGGATATCAAATTGGGAGGAGGGGTATGGAAGAAGTGAATGTTTTCAGATACTTGGGAGTTGACGTGTCGGCGGATGGATTTATGAAGGATGAGGTTAATCATAGAATTGATGAGGGAAAAAAGGTGAGTGGTGCGTTGAGGTATATGTGGAGTCAAAAAACGTTATCTATGGAGGCAAAGAAGGGAATGTATGAAAGTATAGTAGTACCAACACTCTTATATGGGTGTGAAGCTTGGGTGGTAAATGCAGCAGCGAGGAGACGGTTGGAGGCAGTGGAGATGTCCTGTTTAAGGGCAATGTGTGGTGTAAATATTATGCAGAAAATTCGGAGTGTGGAAATTAGGAGAAGGTGTGGAGTTAATAAAAGTATTAGTCAGAGGGCAGAAGAGGGGTTGTTGAGGTGGTTTGGTCATTTAGAGAGAATGGATCAAAGTAGAATGACATGGAAAGCATATAAATCTATAGGGGAAGGAAGGCGGGGTAGGGGTCGTCCTCGAAAGGGTTGGAGAGAGGGGGTAAAGGAGGTTTTGTGGGTAAGGGGCTTGGACTTCCAGCAAGCGTGCGTGAGCGTGTTAGATAGGAGTGAATGGAGACGAATGGTACTTGGGACCTGACGATCTGTTGGAGTGTGAGCAGGGTAATATTTAGTGAAGGGATTCAGGGAAACCGGTTATTTTCATATAGTCGGACTTGAGTCCTGGAAATGGGAAGTACAATGCCTGCACTTTAAAGGAGGGGTTTGGGATATTGGCAGTTTGGAGGGATATGTTTGTGTATCTTTATATGTGTATGCTTCTAGACTGTTGTATTCTGAGCACCTCTGCAAAAACAGTGATAATTTTGCAAGTGTGGTGAAAGTGTTGAATGATGATGAAAGTATTTTCTTTTTGGGGATTTTCTTTCTTTTTTGGGTCACCCTGCCTCGGTGGGAGACGGCCGACTTGTTGAAAAAAAAAAAAAAAAAAAAAAAAAAAATATATATATATATATATAAATATATATTTATATATATATTATATATATATTATATATTATATATATATATATATATATATATATATATATATATATATATATATATATATATATATATATATATATATAGACAGGCTTCACCCGGAGAGGAGCTACCCTCTCCTCCATCGGATTAAACACGATTGCCTCCTGTTACCCAGACGCTCTACAGCCCCTACGGATTTAGCGCTTACGCATGAATGTAATGATGATGATGATAATAATAATAATAATACAGAGAGAGAGAGAGAAAAAAAAAAGTGAGAGAAATGTAAAAAGGCGGAGATCTCCAGTTTGATTATATCCTTTATGGTTGCTAAACCGGCTTCTCTCACTTCTTTTCTTTTCTTCACCTTTTATTTCTCTCTATTTTATCACTCCATCTCCCGTCACAGAGAAACTCGCAAAAAAAAATTTAGCGTAAGAAAGATAATTTCCCTGAAACTATGAAATTTCTGGCTAAAATTCCTCGAAACACAGAGAATTTCCCTGCTGGAGGCTCGCCCCGCCTGGCTGTAATCTTCAATCTGTCATCAAACCAGCCTTATTTCCCTGCCTTCCTGGCGCGGAAATGACTCCCACACGATGTGCTAGGAGGGGTAAAGGGAGGGCAAGGAGGGAGTAAAGGGAGGGGGAACAAGGGTAAAGGGGTTAGGTGGGGAGAGAGGGGAAACTCCCTGGAAACCGAGAATCTATCCCCTCCCCTTAGATTGTACGAGAGAGATTGTCAGGAAAAGCGTTGGGACTCTACCCTTGATTCGTTATCTCTCCCTCGTCCCTTGATTCGTTATCTCTCCCCCGTCCCTTATTCGCTATCTCTCCCCGTCCCTTCATTAGCTATCTCCTCCCCGTCCCTTGATTCGCTATCTCTCCCCGTCCCTGGATTCGCGCACCTTTCCCCTCCCAACCTACCCCCGAGGATCGTATTGAAAAGTGTTTTGACTTGTGGATTCATACACGCCAAGAATTGCATTTCAACGTTGGTTTGTGGGTTTGTCGGTTTATACACCATGAAGTGCACGTATGCGGTTTGTATGTTTGTATGCTTGTGTGTTTGTGATCTTGATAAAACAAATACAGGTTTTAAACCTGACATTAGTCTGTTTGTTTGTGAATAATACTTTTCTTCACAACGTGTATGATACAATATTATGGTTTTTTTCAGCCTTTGTCGTTAGATGGAGAAAGTGAAAGCGAGACGTGGAGGGAGGAAGAGAAAGATAGATAGAGAGAGAAAAAAAGAGAGAGAGACAGAGAGACAGACAGAGAGGCAGACAGACAGACAGACAGACAGACAGAGACAGAGACAGAGAAAGATAGAGAGAGAGAGAAAGAGAGAGAGACGCAGACAGAGACATGGAACGAGGATGAGACGAAGAGAGAGAGAGAGTAGGAGGGCTGGAGAAGGCTGAAGGGAGATCAATCATACCTACTTTTAAAGCTGTGTATGGTATCAGCCTCCACTACCTCCTCCTCCTTACTTCCTTTCACTCCTTCACTGCCTTATAATATTGTTTTTATCGTCTCTGTATTCCTCTTGTTCTCTTCCACTCTAATATCCTGTTATCTTCAATATTATCTCTTCTACTTCTAATGTCCTGTTTTGCTCCATGTCTGAACCATATTCTGCTCTTGTTCAGTCTTTCATTGTAAATTAATTCTTTCTCTCTCATTGTGGAGTATATATACCTGGGGTCTGCAATGAGCATGTACACTAAATGATCATAAATGACCATAAATTTTAAAGGGGTAGACCGGTAAGCCAGCGGAAGGCCTCGGTCAG